TCCATTACTGAATTTTATTTTACTCGTAAGTTCAAGGTAACTAATTTTCCTGTGTATGTGCATGTCTTGAAAAGGCTTTGATGTTTTTCATACTGAATTTATGTTTTAGTTAAGTTTATAGTTGCAAAGCGATTTACACTTACAACATTGAAGATTGATCCTGATGAAATGATGAGAAGCTAGATCATCCTTTCAGGAAAATTTGATTTTGATTGATGTCAGATTTTCCAACATCAACACTGAAGGCAAAAATCCAAGAGAGTACTATTGATGAGGAGTTTAAAAGAAATAAATGTCGATATTTGGACTATGTATAGCCAAAATCTTTTAAGGATGAGGGTACAGAAAAGGATGTTGTTAGAATATATATTTTACAAATGTTAGGTCACACAAATCCCTTTGAAAATATCCCTAGAGGAAATACTCTAGTAAGAAGAAAAACCTGGAAACATGGTATTAGGTTTGTAGAAACAAAGATTGACATTAAAAGCATTTATCATAAATTACATGAACATTTCCAAAACAATTCAGAAACAAGTGTAAGAAAGTAGCCCCTTGAACTGAGGGTCATTGCCTGGACAAAGCTGCACCTCTAGAGGTGGCTGGAGAACTTGTTCAGTCTGCTGAGACGATGGCAATATTGGCTCATGTATACAACTAGGGAGAAGATTAACATAATTAATTATGTAACTGCATGACAATATCAAAAATTTCCAAATTTCAAACAAACAAGAATATGTGATCTATCAAGTGGGAGATATAAAAAAGAGCAAAATGATAAAGTACAGAAAGCAAAGCATAAAATAAGATAGTAGAAATGTGATAACAAAACAATAATTAAATAAAACAAAGATAAGAATTATCAGATTTTTAAATATCAAAAACTCTAAGGGTCCAAAAAATCACTTTGGAAATAAAGTTACGGAGAAAACATAGCAGAAAAACATGAATGAAAAGAACTAGGCCCACTTTTTAACAAAAGATGGAATTCAAGGTGCCTGTATCCAAGGAGAAAAAAACTGTAGACTGAAGAAATTGCAGATAAAGAAAACATGCTTATGAACACGCACACCTTGACTATACAGCCAGCTAAACCCAAGGGCCCTCACTCCCATTAAAGCTCCATAAAAACATTAGGACCAATGAGCAGAGGCTCCAGGGATCTGTCAGCCCATATATAGCACTAAGACAAGGTACTAGGGTCTATCCCCAGGTGGCTCTGGAGTCACTGCTGCCAGGGGATGCAGAATGGTGCAGGAAGGTTGCACCAGACTTAAAGCTCCCCTTCTACATAGTCCAGGTGAGCTGGAGTCTTCAGGACTTTGGAGTGGAAAGGAAGGAGAAGAAATGGCACATTCAGAAAAAAAGAATATGCACTGATCATGCAGGGGCTATCAGAAGAGGCTGCTCAAGACTAGACTCAGCCCAACCCTTGAGCCCTAACCACCCTGAGGATCAGTAACTTCACCACACTACCCTGTTACTGGCTTCCGAGTTATAACACAAACTTCAAAACTCATGCAAACAGTATGCACTAAATTTATTTTCACAAAATAAGAAATTGACTCAAGACAACATGAAAGACTTTTTGCAGGCTTTATGATGGTCATCAACAAATAAAAATTATATATATTTAAGATGTGCAGTGATATTGTAAGTATACATTGTGAAATAATTATCATAATCAAGCTAACATATTCATCACATCACCTAGTTAACTTTTGAGTACCTGGTGAGAGCACTTGAAAATGACTCTGAGTACATTTAGAATTTTGAATACATTATTATTGACCTCAGTCACCATGCTCTAAATTCGATCTCAAGAATTACCCATAACTGAAAGTTTGTAGTCTTTGACAAACTATTGGTCCCTGGTAGTTACCATTCTAGTCTATTAGATTGTGCAGTAATTCTGAGTCTGGCCTGTTTTACTTACCATAATATTCTCTAGGTTCATCCACATTTTCCTAAATGAAAGTGTTTTTTCCTTTTATAGGGATGAATGAAAATCCATTATCTATTGCATTTCATTTAACCATTCATCTGCCCACAGACATTTAGGTTATATATCTTGTCTACAGAAATGCAAATATCTCTTCAAAATATTGATCTTAACTGTTAGGATATATACTCAGAAATTGGGTTGCTGGACCACATGACAATTCAACTTTAATTTTTTTTTTTTGCTACTGGGGATCGAACTCAGGACCTTGCACTTGCAAGACAGGTGGCAGAACCACTGAGCTAAATCCCTGGCCCTCAATTTGAACTTTCGAGAAGCCTCCATATCACTTTCCCCAATTGGCACACCAATTTACATTCACATCAATGATGTACAAAGTTTCTCTTTTCTCAACAACTTTGCCAACATTTGTTATCTGTGACTTTTTAATATCAGCCACCCTAACAGGTATGAGATGATAACTTATTGTGCTTTTGATATGCATCTCCCTGATGACTGATGATATTGAGCATTTTTCTATGTACTTATTGACCATGCCATATCTTATTAGACAAGTGTCTATTTGGATCTTTTGGAACTGTGGAAGTTCTTAATGTATTTTGGATATTAACCCCTTAACACAGATGAAATTTGCAGATATTTCCTACCCCTTCTCAACCTCCCACAATCACATTCATGTTCACTTTTCTTAAACTTCCATACAAGAGAATAATTAATACTTGTCTTTCTGCATCTGCCATATTTCACATAACAAAATAACCCCAGCTCCATCCTTGCTGCAAACAACAGGGTCTCATTCTGCTTTATACCTGAATAGTGTATGTATTCCTCACTTTTTCCATTCATCAATTGATGAGCACCTTGGTTGAATCAACATCTTACCTATTGTGGGTAGTGCTGGATAAACACGGGCACACAGGTGTCCCTTTGGCGTGCTGACTGCATCTCCTTTGGATATATTCCCAGAAGTGGGATACCTGGATCACATGGTAGACCTATTTTTAGTTTAATGAGGGACCTCCATGTTGCTCTCCACAATGGCTGTACTAATTCACATTCCCATCAATGCTGTATGAGTTTCCCATTCTCCACATCCTTGCTAGCATTTTTAAAAAGAAATAATCATAGCTATTTTAACTAGGGTGAAATAGTATCTCATTGTAGTTTTGTTTGGTCTTTTCCTGATACTAATGAGAAAATAATGGAACTGAAAATACATTGTTTTGTGAAAAATACTAGATTGGTTTGTGAAAGGATATAGGGATTATATGTATCTGTGTGTGCATGCATATAGTGATCCTTAAGACTACTTTGAGCAGCTTAAGAATTATGTCATCCACTTATAAAAGTATCATTGAAGTTTTAGCACCAGCCAGGATCTCAGTTGGATAAAAAAGCCAGGTAATACCTGTGTTCCAGGAGGAACAAATAGAAAATAGACTATGGTCTGTCTCTGACAGGTCGGGCAGGTGGAGGCAGAAGGAAGGGTCCAGAAGGCCCAGGAGGGTGCAGCACCCACTGTCCTGGAGCCTGGGGGGAGGGGCGGGGCTGTGGCTGAGCCTCTGCTCTCGCCCCTCCCCCACCCCAGGAGCCCTTTGTGATGAGGAGAACACAGCTCCGTGATGCAGGCCTGGGCCCTCCTCCCTAACCCCAGAGAGAACTCTCAGTATTCAGTTGCCTGAGAGCAACACTGCGATTCAGATGATGGAGAATCTTCTCATTTCTCTGAAAAGCCTTAGTGCCATATGGCTGTGCCCCAGCTGCACTACCTTTGCGATGGATATGATCTTCGCCATTGTGTGTGGACTGGGCTCTTCCTTTTGTTACTGCCCTGGCTCCAGGGTGAACCAACCTTACGCCCATGGAGAAAAAACAGAAACATTAGAAAGGTAAGAAACTCTCAGCCTAGATCCAGCAGAGAATGATTCTTTTACCACAATTTCCACTTTTCTGAGTGAAGTAGACAGACTGCTGAGAGAGAAAACTCAGAAAAGAACACAATATCCTGTGAGGCCTGAGTGACTCCATTTTAAAATTTGGCCCCATCTTAGAGTAAGGTGGCCTGGACAAAAATTCTAGTTCCAAGAAAAACCACAAGATGTACTTTGGCCACCTGCCTGTAATAATGTTCAGCAGTCCCCTAGCAACTAGCCTAGCAACAGCTAATCAGTAGCTGCCTCAATGTCCCAGATGCTCTTCTCGATGACCTGCAACAGCTAATCAGTAGTTACCCCAATACCCCAGTATCCCAGATGTTCTTTTCAATGACTTGAGCAGCTGTTTGCAGTTCAGCGCGCAAGGCACAGCCAATCAGGCTTAAACTTTCAAAACTTGCTAAATGCTAGCCAATTGTGTGATTTGCGTGTGATTTGAAACCCCGCGCCTTGCTGTAACCTCTACAAAAACCCCTGGTGTTTTAGAGTCGGGGCTCTCAATCCTGACCCGCTGCGTTGGTGTCCGTTGGTGTCCGATGAGAGTCCCTGCTCGAGCTTGAATAAACGACCCTCGTGTGTTTGCATCAGAATTGGCTCCTTGGTGGTCTTTGGGGACCTCGAGATCTGGGCACAACAATCCTTCCTGTGGGACAGGCAGGGCAGGGAAGGGGAAGTGGGCACCAGGACGTCGGTCTGGTGCCTTCTGATGACCTCTATGTGGTTTGCTGGAGGTGCCAGAATAAAAGAGAATATGGTTACTGGGTGGGACAAGAACTGGATTCCTGAAAGGTGGGGACCTTTGGGGAGGGCCAGGCCCTGAGCACTGGTTCATTGTACCCATCTCATGGTGATAGAGCAATAACTGTATAATAAGACAGGCCTTTGCCTTATCTCCATGTTTCCCCACCACCCAAAATTTTTTGTTCCAAAAATGTAACAGTTGCTCCTGCCCAATGTATCAAAATGCTCTGTAACTGTTTGAACTTTGTGACCTCAGGAATGTTGTCAGCCGCGCCCCCTCAGGAATGTTCCATTAGTCCCGCCCCTCAGGAATGTTCCATTAGCCCCACCCCTCTCGAGAATGTTCTGTAATTCTGCCCCACCTGCTTCAGTGAACATGCTCTCCTACCTAGTAGACCCCTATACAAGGAGGCTCCTGTTTCTGGTCAAGCGCTCAGACTTTGAGAATGATCTCCTCTGGGCCTGCTGCTGTAATAAAAGTTTTTCTCCACCTGTTTGAGTGACCATCGGATTCTTGAGTCTTCAAATTTTGGTAGGTGTGCCTCAGAGCTGTGGCATTTGGCTATAGCACCAAACTGTTCTGTTCTGACACATTTGGCAGACACTTCTAGGCCCAGGATTTCCTCTGTGCTGGGCTGAACCAAGGGCTATGCTGAGGGCCTGAGAGTCCAACCCAATCCCACGATGCAGCTGCCTCTGGTCTCTAGCAGCTGAGATGCAGCTGTAGAAATGAGTTCATCTTTTGAGCAGGGGATCCCCTTATGGGGGAATCTCATGTTAGAAAGTTCCTGTGTGTTTCTACAAGGACAGAAAAAAGTACTGTAATTTAAAAAGTAAGTAAAAGGAAAGAAAAAACACAGTCTCATTAATTCACTGTGGAGCAGCATAATATTCATGAATACTGAATGTCTGCAGCCTGTCTGACAGACAGGAGAGTTGGGCCTGGGTCTCTCACTATTTTCCTTCTTTCTTAGCATCCAGTGTGGATGAGGTGGAAGAAAAGGCGAAGGAAGAGGACAGCTGCTCTCCTAGGTAAGGTTACGCCTTTCAGTCCTATAGTCCTGGAACTAACTTGACCTTGTTTATCCCTCAGGGACCAATGCCAGGACTCCAAGGATGCCAGCTCCAGACAGGGGCTCCTGCAACTGCAATCAGCAGGGGGGATCCTTCTCAGGCTCCCTGCTCAGAATGAAGCTGTGCTGGGACAAAGAAGGGTTTTGTGCAGTAGGGAGCAGTGCAGGCAGCAGAGGAGCAGTACAGCCTGGGTTTGGAAGTGGGACACCCAGGTCCAACTGAGACCCAGCTGTTACAATTGGCAGAGGCTGATTCCTTTGTGAGATGACCCCATCTGTCCAGCAAGCACAGTTGTGGGGACCATGGATGTTGAAGGATGTGGAAGCACTTTGTACTGACAAAGCGCTGCCCATCTGTGTACCATGCAACCACTGTCAGTCAGGGCCAGAGGACATTGGACACCGATGCTTGGGCTCTGGAGTCAGACCTCCAATGGTGTCCTTTCAGGGGACATTCCCTTCAGCATCCTGTAAAATCCCAGTCCCTTCCTTACCCTTCATCCTTTATAACCCAGTTTCCCACTGCCCACCTTTTGCAGACTACCAGATTTACCAGAAATTGGATAAGAAGCCAATTCCCCTTCTGAAAAGGTAAAGAACTTTCCCTTCTTCCTTCCTTCTAAGGCTTGTGATGTCACCAAGTAGCATTGCTCTAAGCTGGGAGGGGGAGATCCTGGGAGTGGGGGATGTTAAGACCCTGGGGCGAGGAATAGCAGGAAAATCTATAGACTTGGGGTATGGGGCAGTGGAAGGGCCAGGGCCAAACTGAGCTCACCCCAGCCCCTAGCTACAGTTATAACTCCTATTTATTACAGCTTGCAGAGGCTGTTCCCTGGCTAAGGATGCTCTCAACAGCCTGTATACCAACACCACCCTGCTGATGCATGTACAAGAGCACCTGTCACAGCCCCACAGCCAGATGGGGAGAAAGCAGATCCTGGTAGAGGCTGCCCCCTCTCCTCTCACTCCACACCTTCTACCTCTGGCCTCCTCTCCATCACCAGGCCCATCAGTAACTTCCTCAGATTTTGTGTGTTCACCCACACCCCTCACTGCCTCTCAGACCCCAGAGCCCCTGCTTCCCCTGGGAAGACTTTCACCCCAGCCACTTTCCCTTCCCCCACCATGTCCCCCCAATCATGCCACAACCCCACCTCCCTGCTGGGACACAAACGAGAAGCCAGAACAGCAGCTCGGTCCTCAGCAACCCTCATGTCCCAAGATCCTGGGGGCCCACTTTCAGAAGAAATGGATCCAGCTTTTCTGGGGTCTGCCCTCTCTGCACAGTGAATCTACAACAGCTGCTGCTGGGATCTCTCAGAACCCTCCTGTTCCATACCTTCCCACCTTCTTATTCAACAGAACCTCACGTGTTTGCCCAGTTCACGTGCAGGATCAAATGTCCCTGCTGCTTTCCCTTGCCCAGGATCCATCCTGTCTGGAGCCCTGATCCCCACCCCAATCCCAGCCCCCAGCTCTGGGTCAGGCCCAGACTCAGACCCACCCACAATCCTCTCCCCCCATCCTGTTAGCACCTTCTCTGCCCCTCAGTAGGGGCTGTGGAGCATCCTGTTCTACATCCCATAACCCACACTCATCCCAGATGAAATTCAACACTCAGGAAGGACCTTGTCGAAGAAACACCTAGAACACGGGTGGGCTATTCCCTCAGCAGTCCAAAGCCCTCAGGAGGGTTACTGTCCCTCTACTCCCAACCTTTGCCAAAGCAAGGGTGCCACTGCCATCCTTCGTGAGAGTTTTCCAATCAGCTCTGAGCTCTGGGAAAAACTAGAGCAACACATTCAAAAGTGGCATGTTCAACACCAGCAGGACCTGCCCTGCAGGATCCAGGAGTCTCCAGAACTCACACAGCCTCAGTGTGACTTAGCTCATTCACCTCAGGTAAAGGACAAACCCGGGCTCTCCCATTCGTCTGTGTCTACAGGTGAACCCAGCAAGGATGTGCAGAAGGTGAGGTTCCAGCTAAGGAGGGACTCAGGCAAGAATTTGGGGCATATTCTAGGCAAGGTCCCAAAAGATCTCTCCAGAGCCCTAGGAAGCTCCCCAGTGAAGGTTCTGGGGGCAACCTCTGAGGAGTCAGAGAGAAACCTGACGTGGCCCATGGACAGTGACACAAGAAATGACCCATTCAGAAGTAGAGACAAGAAACACCTAGAAGGGGTGCTGAAAGCACATTTGGGTGTGAAGATGGGGCAGATCTATGAGGGGCTGATCCCTCTGAGAGTGCGCCAGTCCTGGCTCACTGTCAACGGTGCCCTTTCCATGCTTCACACCCACTTGAAAACCAGAAATCCAGCATCCTCCAGGAGTCAGGAAACCTGTGTGAGCACCATCCAGAACTTTTTCTCCAATCCACGCACTCAGCAGGACCTGGAGATGCAGAGTACAAGGCATAGGGTGAGGCACAGGTGGGGCCTCCCCCCCAAACTCCTCAAGGCCATAAACACTTTTAAGTCAACAAAGGCTTCACCCTCACCATTTCCACAGTGTGCTCACCCCTCCTCCTCTGGCGGTGTGTCCTGGGCTGACTTGACAGTGGAGGATGAGGCCAAGTTCCTGGGAAAACCACCTCAGGGATGTCCGGGAGAGGAGGTGACAGTCAGGCAGTCTGTCCCCACACTGTGCAGTCTCCTTGTCTCCTCTCTTTCATGTAAGGAGACCGAGAGGGCCCTGGCAGGGATCCCTCTTGGTGATGGCCAGGGGTCCTCAGAGGCCCCTCTCACTAGACAGGACAGTGCAGGGCCTTCACAGCAACTCACATCCAGCCTCATGGGCAGAACCTGTGAGAGCAGGAGCATCCAAAGGGTTGGCAGAGGCAGCCCAGAAGTCCCCTTGCTTCCTGGAACATGTGTCATCCAAGATGCAGGAGAGCCAGGGCTTCGGGCAGACACTGGGAGCAAGTTTCAGCACAGAGTGGAGATCAAGTCAGTGAGCCATTGTCAAGTCTGTGTCACAGGTGTCCACCTTCCAGACTGTCCTACTGACTCTCTCTGTGCTTCACACTGTTTGGCATCTGCAGTGTCCCAGTGCCATCACCACAGCATGCTTCTAGGGGACATGCTAGCTCCACAACTGTTTGGTGACCTAATGGCAGACAGAGGGAGCAGCTGGGGGCAGCAGAAGCCCTGGATCCTGAAACATCAGCACTCACTGAAGAGCCAAAGCAAGACATCTGTCCCTGCTGACAAGCATGAGGTTGGTAGGAGCCCCAGCTCAGGAAAACATGAAGACAGGTTGGGAGACTTGGGGACCTCTGAGCTCACCCAGAATGGGGGAATAGAAGACACCTTAGAGAGTAAATACCTTCAGCTCCCACAAAAGAAACCAGTCCCCTCAGAAGGGTACTTCCAAAGAAGCATGAAGAAAGGTCTACAGTGGGTTTTACCTAAGAAAGAAATCAAAGGGCAGGAAGACACCCCCAAAAAAGGCAAGCCTGCACCTGCCATGGCCCAGAGTCAGAGACCAGCTAAAAACATACTTTGTGTGGACCACAACACTGATGAGGCTCAGTGGCTCCTGACAGCACTTGGGCAGATGGTAGGAGCCACAATAATGCTTAAGCGTGAACTTTGTGCCTTGAAGTTCAATCAGCACAAAGAGGAAGAAGGTCACACCCCAGTCTCCCAGGTTTCCTGCTCCTCAGAGCACAGGAGAAAGCCAGGACATGCAGCCACCCCTGAGTGACACAGCTGTCCTACTAGGGAGAGGCACCCCAGTGGCCAAGAGTCCTTGAAAACTGGACAGCTCAACAGTGAGCATCAGGGCTGGAGGCATCCCCACCCCTCCTTCCCTATCAAGGCTGTGTCCCCAGTCAGCCCCTCCCAGTGTGGCCCAACAGCGTCCAGGGCACTAGGCCAACAACGTTATTGCCCAAGGCGTGGTCCTCTTTTGGGAGGTGTCTTCACTGGACAACAGAGAAATTTCTCTCCAGTCTTTCTTAGTAGGAAAACACATGTCCAAGAAAAATATTAGTGATGTAGAGGAAAATGATTTTTCTCATTATGCATCCAAGATATTTACTGTATCCCAAAACACCTATGTTTCCTCCTAAGAGAAATGGCTTCTGTGTGCTCTGTGCTTGGTGTGGGCTCTGGGGTCTAGAAGGGAGCAGTGTGGTGGAGGTGACAGAGGGGTGCAAGCCAACCTTCACCCTTAGTTCCTGCACTGATCACCACTTCCACCATTAAACGAACAAAATCTCTAAAAACAAGCCAGGGAAAACCAATGATGACCCCCCACCCCTGGGACCGGGTCCAACCCATCTTTCCATTGCTCCCCTACATTAAGGCAGCGGTAGGACCAGAGGCACAGAGACACTTTAGGCTGAAAATTCCCCCACAGTTTCCACAAGGGTCAGAGCCATGCAGATCCACTGGTCCCAAAATGGGTGGCAGTTTGCATGTGAGGATGCTGGGCCCTGAGTTCAGAAGTGGGAGAAATCTTGCCCTTGATCTCCTGATGGGGGACAGATGATGTCCACCCTTGGGAAGCCCCTCCTCTCCCTGGCAAAGGCCTGGACCTAGAGGGCCCTTCTGGGTTCAGCTTTGATGGAAAGTTCAGAGTTCCCATCCCAGGGCCTTGGCCCTCCTCACACTAGGGCAGCAGTGAGGACAGAAAATCCAGCTTGGGGGGGTCGTGGCTGGTGATGGTCAGGGGGCCCCTGCTCATGGGTGAAGAAATGGTCCTGCTTATGGCTCATTTATCCTGGTCCATCTTGTGACTCCACTTAGTGGTTCTGGGTGGAGGGAGCAGGGTTGTGCCTGCATGGTAACTGATGGTCAGGCACTGGGGATGGGGATGTGGGAGGAGAATTGAAAAGGCTGGAGCCAGGCAGGAAGCAGAGTGGCACAAGGACAATGTGAATGGTACAGGGAATGGGGCGCTCCCAAGGTTCTGCTGCCATCTACCAGCAGACAGGAGGTGACATTAGGGGCCAAGTGGCTCACCCTGGCCGCACCACAGGGCCCTACCTGCTCCAGATCCCAGACCCAGAGAAGTCACCTTCAGCTCCCACACAGGGGGCCAGATTTGAGAGGGAGCAGAGGACGTTAGCAAAGGTTGATTTCTTATCAGTACATTGGGTAACTTGTATATATGCTCACCTCTTGCAGAAAGGATGAACTGAAAATGTGGAGAAGATAGGACAAGGGAACCTGAGATGTGACTCAAACTCTGGTGACCTATACATATGTATGCAGCCCCAAGGCTGTCCCTAGAGGAGAGGAGGGACCCAGAAGGGTCCAGAGCCTGCCCTGGGGTCACACAGCAAGTCTTGCCTGGTTCCCAGCCCTTGCTTAGCCCAGAGCCCACAGGGGAAGAGGCGGTCACACAGGGTTTGTGCCACAAGGAGGCTGGAAGTGACCTGTCCAAATGCCTGGGGGCAGGGCCGGTCCAGGAGGAGAGCTCTCAGCTTCTAGCACGTGTTTCCCTTCCTGTGGGACCTGATCCTCATGGAAAAGCAGAGGGGCTCAAGAGGCAGGGAGAGGAGCAGCCACTTCTCCAGAGAGCATTTCCGGTGGTGTGTGGCACACTGGGCAGCCACAGGCACAGCCCCGGGGGCCTCAATCCTGGGGCAGAGCGTCCTACACCGAACACAGCTTATCCTGATAAGGGGAACAGGCCCTGTCCCCACCCATGGCAATGGACTTTACCTGGGGTGGAGGGGTAAGTTGGCATAGGCCCCTAGTGTCTGGCTGATGGTGCTTCCTGCTGCCCTGCAGCCAAGTCCTGCATTGGGCTCCTGGATGCCTGTGTTGGTTCCAGAGTGGGCCCAGGCATGGCAATGGAGCCAGGACTGGCAGGAGAGGCTGGGCCCCAGGACACAGAATAGCCTTGTCCCTTGGGTGCTAAGGAGAAGTCGGCACATGGCTGGGACCCTGACCTTGGGAGGGTCTATGCCTGGATGCTGCTGGGTTCTCTCAGGACATTAAGGTATGTTCTGGAATGTGGAAGACCTTGACTCAGACCCATGGCTCCTGCCAGCCTAAGTACTATAACCTAGCTAAGCTGACTGGCCAGGTAGAACATGGAAGGAGCATGTTCCTCTGTCCCTCTAACGCTCAGTTTCCATAAGGTACAGTGAGGCCTGCAATGAAGACATCTAGAAATTTCTCAGTGATGATCTGCAGAGACAGCACACAGAGACCTCTCACCACTGTGTGTGTTTTATACACTGAAATCTCCCAGCTTCCCACAGGACCCTCACACACAGCTGAGTCCTTTGTCACCTCAACAGAGACCTCCACAGAGACTTCCTGGTTCCACATTGAACTCTTCCCCCAGAGACCTGCCCAGATTTTACAGGCTCCCCAGTGTCCTAACCCCGAGACCTCTCAGAGATCTCAGACACAAACCAGAGACCTTCTATGGAGACCACACTCTGTCAGTAATAGGGACGCATAAAGACACACCCTACAGAAACCTCCTGGTCAGGACAGAGACTTCCCACTACCCAGAAACCTTGCACAGATTCTTTAGGTTACTCTACATTTATTGCAGAAACCTCACAGAGAACCCTCAGACTCCACAGACCTCCCACAGACATGTTTCAGAGCCCTCCCACAGACACCATGCTTACACTTTCCACAGAGACCTAACTCAGCCCTTGGTAGAGACTCCCACAGGGCTCAAGCAGAGACATCACACTGCTCCATAGAGCTCAAAAGCAGGAACCTCTGTCAGAGACCTCACAGGACAGTCTTCTCACTGCCCCACGACCCTACACCTTCCATAGAGCCTGCACACGGACTTCTCACAGGGCTCTGTGCCACCCCACAGGCCATCACACAGGAAGCCAGTACAGAGCTTTCACAAGGGGCTTCCCTCAGAGCCCTGACAGAGAGATGTCTCCCACACAGACCTCCCCCAGACAGAGGCCTCACAGAGCTCTCCCACCAGATTTCTGCGAGACTCCACAGAATGCACATGGAAACTCTGTCGTCCCCACAGAGATCTCACCTGGAGTTCTCTGCAGAAACAGGGCACAGAGACCTCACACAGACACCTTGAATACCCTCTTTAGGGGCCTGAGCAGCTACTCTTTGACAGGTCCTTCCTAGGGGAGGTGGAACCACTGAGCAAACTGGCAATGAAGTGGGATTCCCATGAGTTTTGCACCTGAGAACTCCAAGACACCCAGACATCATCAGCATCATACCAGATGGGATTCTCTGATAGGGAAATGGTCATAATGTTTTAAAAACCTTTTGTAATATCTTTGCATTTGGGGAAAAAAATGATGGAATCAATGTGTAGACCTCAAATCCTGGATTGACAGGTTTTCATTAATTAGAACCCTGACCCATGATGCGAGAACCATACAGCAGGACAATTGCTTATAGCATGAGTGCAGTAAATCCTCAAGTGTTTTTTGGAGCATGGCTTTGGTGAGCCAGCATACTAGGCATAATGGTCAATAACAGTAACTTTACTCTCAGGATCGTTACAATGCACTGCCAGAAACAGGCATGCAGACATATACTGTAATTCCAGCACTCTAGAAGGTTGAGGTAGGAGGATCACAAATTCAAGTACAGCCTAGGCAACATAACAACTTAGTGAGACTCTGTCTCAAAATAAAAAATAAAAAAGACTGAGAATGTAGCTCACAGAGAAGACCCTGGATTTAATCCTCAGTAACACACACACACATACAAATACATGCACACACAAACCCAAATGCCATGCTGCTGGGAAGCTCAAAAAAGGGAAGAAAAAGTTTACTCCAGAGAAACCAGGAAATGCTCTATCTTACAGCTCTGTAGATCAGAATTCTTACAAAGTTCTTCTGGGCTAAAATCCAAAAAGTCTCTCTTTTTGATATGATGTCTTGCTATTTTATTTTTCCCAGGCTGGTTTTAAACTGTTGTGATTCTACAATGTGCCCATTGGGATAATCCAGCGTAATTCTATTTTAAAGCCAGCCAATCAGCAAAATTAATTCCATCTGCAATCTTAATCTCTCTTTCCCATATAAGACAACATATTCAGATTCTGGGGATCAAGACATTGACATCTTGGGCATGTTACTGTTCTGCCTCCCACACCAAGTCATATGGCATTGACAAGAGCATGTTTGCGATAAGAGATTAGGGCATGGCAGGTTAGCTGGAGAACAGGATGTAACCTGTCAATTACAAAGAACCAGAAGGGAGGCTGAACAACCAGGAATGACTTGTCAATCACAAGAAACTGACAATACATATGCAGGCCAATTTCCCACAGACTGGATCTGAAAAGATAGAAAAGATAGTAATAACTAACTTCAGAGCACTGTTGTTTTCCTGTTCTGCTGTCTTCCTGCTTCTGTAGTGGCCCATCCTGCATGTGGGACATATCTTGCACTTGTTTTTTCCTTTTTCTTTTTACTTTAAATGAAAGTTACATTTACCCATTCATTGACTGTATCTGCTGGAACAAAGCCTGGAACCAAGGACACTGTGCCATCTGGCAACATGTTGAGAGTTGTTTGTATGAAGATGACTCAGACAATGCTGTAGCAGGGGCTCCAGGACAGGCACAGGGCTAGCTAGCAGAGGGACAAGACAGTGAGTTTTACATCCAAAACCAGAATAGGACCTGTGCATAAAAGGACTGCTCCATGTTGTGTGTTGTATTTGAAATGAAGATAATTGATAATTATAAATTTAGTGACCAAGAGAGACCATTTCACATTCAGAATCATAGACTAATGATTCTTCAAAGACACTGAAGCTGCAAATTATCTCTTAGTACAGAATCAGGTGCTCCCCACATAACCTTTTCTAGACAGGCATGGTTGTTGTTAGCCTGTCCCCGTCTCCTCACATAGTGAGCAGTGCATCTCTGCGAGCTTCCTGGGAAGAGATTTGGGCCAGTGGGGCCTGAGAGGCTGCTGTGTACTGGCTCAGCCTTCACAACTCACTTCAGAAGTGACCTGCACACTGGAGAGCACGTCTAAGGAGCTCTAGGTTTATGTTATATTTTGCAGAGCTGTGGATTGCAGCCAGAAGCTTCCATATGCTGAGCAAGTGCTCTATACTGAGCTACACACCCAACCCCAACTTTTGGG